TGTATAAACTAGCATGGCCAAGGAAACTTCGCACAACTTTCTCATGTTTGGGCGTTGTCATCTTCTCAATTACACTAACTTTTTATCTGTCCACCTCAATTCCGTCGAGCGAGATCTTATGGCCAAGAACAATTCATTCATTTACCATAAGATGACATTTCTTTCGGTTCAACACGAGATTGGTCTCACTGCAGCAGACCCGTACTTCATCTATGTTGTTCAAACATCTGGAAAAGGTCTAATGAGAAATCATCCATAAAAGACTTCAATGCAGGGAGATCACTGAAAAGATGGTACATGTATCGCTCGAAGGTGGCTGGGAAGTTGCAGAGTTCAAAGGGATCCTCGTGTAAGTAAAAGTACCATATGGACAAATAAAAATAGTTTTCTCACAGTCCTCTAGCTTGATGGAAATTTTGTGGTAGCCTGAGTAGCCATCAATAAAGTAGTAGTACTTATGGCAGGCTAACTTCTCAAAGCATTGATCAAGGAATGGCATCGGAAAATGATCCTTCTTTGTGGCGGTATTTAATTTCCTATAATCGATGCAGACCCTCTATCCAGTGAGTGGTCTTCTCATGAAAACCTCTCCTTAATCGTCTGTCTCTTTGACAAAATCTCCTTTCTTGGACCACCTGCCACTGGCTGTCGCTTATGGGGTAAATAATGCATGCATCAAAAAGCATGAATACCTATTTCTTTACCACTTATTGCATATTTTTATTAGGGCATCGCTGAGGCGGTCTGCATGGCTTGGCGTCGGCATCCAGAATGATATAGTGCATGCACACCGCTGGACTGATGCCTTTAACGTTTGAGATTTTCTATGCAAATGTCGTCTTTCTTCTCTTAAGGAGGGCTAGCCCCAAGAACACATACTTCAAATGTTCGGGCAGCTTCTTCAAGTCCTCTTTAAGGGTAGACTCACTCTCTGGTTGTCACTTGGTTTGATTAATGGACTCATTATGGCTTGGAATTTCACCAATTGGATCGTCTGAGTTTTCCAAAAGCTACAGCTTGAACAAGTCTTTATCTAAAATTTATTGTATAAATTCCAGCGTCAATAGGTTCTCAAGAGTATTTAACTCATTAATTTCAAAAACATAGTTGTTATTCTTATCCTATGGATGGGTTAAGGTTTTCTTCACGGAAAATTTGACTTTGTCTCCACCAACGCTCAGTGTGATTTCGCCTTGAACTACATTGATATTAGCTTGAGCGGTGGTAAGGAAAGGTCTTCCCACAATTATTGGAATGTCGCGATCCTCGCTCATTTCCATTATGATAAAATCTGCGTGGAAGATAAATTTGTTTATTTGCACCACTATATCATGAATAATCCCTTCGGGAGTCTTATTGATTTATCTGCAAGCTAAATTACAATACCACATGGCTCAAGCTCATACAACTCTAATTTATTGAAAAACGATAAAAGCATGAGATTAATACTAGCTCCTAAGTCACACAATGCCCTAATCGGCTTCAAATTTTCTATTGTACAAACAATAATAAAAAAGCCAAGATTGCTCAATTTCTTTGGGAGATCTTCGGTGAACGTTGCGCTTCTAACACTCTCCAGCTGAATTGCTACATCCATTTCAGGAATGATATGTCATTTGTTGATGATATCTTTGATAAACTTAGCGTAGTGTGACATCTGTAGCAAAGCACCAGTAAAAGAAATGGTCATTTTAAGATTACGGCAAGTGTGCATCTAAACTCTTTGAAACTGTCCTCTTTCTGAGCCTCATGGGGAAGGGAGCTTTGGTTATCGCTTGGCTTGGCTTGGCTCTTTCCTCTGTTGAGTTTGGCTCCAACCGGCATCAGTCGCTCGTGGATCAGCTAGTTTTACTTTCTCAGGCTGGGTTTGAATATACTCATTCTGCACAGGTAATGAATTTAAAGCAACAAGAGAAGGGGAGCGATCAGTACCTCGATTTGGAAGCGGTGGTGATGAGGTGCGCTTCCCAATTTTTTTCTCCCTCTCCTCCTCTGGTCCGGCAGCAACTGGTTCACCTATCCCCGCTGGTTAAAGGGAATGGGTTTATCGCCGATTGAACTGATTTGACGGAATGGCGTAGGTTCTTTTGGTGGCTTACTAGTATGGTTGCGGGCGGTGATCTCTCGGGCTGAGCAGCGGGCTCTCTAATGGAGATCCCCTTCCCTAGACGGGACAACGGAATCTCATGATCCTTGTCCTTCTCAAGAGCCTTGGTGACCATTACCTTCATCCTTGGCACGGCTGCACCCAAAATGGGCTGCCTACGTACTCAAATGGGATCAAGCCGTACAAAGTTCTATTTATACAAACTACATAATCTAAGTAAAGTAGAGTAAACGGACAAACCTAAATAATCTAAGTATCCAAAACCAAAGGCAACATGCCTAAGGCATCAATACCAATCAACTTTAAGCCTATCAAGTCTAAGTATCAATCACCAAAATATAAGGTAGCATCCAAAAACAATAAGTCGGGTGGAGCCTGCAACCTGAAACAGAAGCTCGGGAGCCCGTCTGCATACGCCCGAATGAGGTCTTTAGACGTCGGAGGAAGATCTACTGGAAGTAGTGTCTGCTCGACCGGAAGGGAAACAACTATAGTTTCCAAAGCATCCACGACGTGTTTCCTTCCCTATATATATGCGAAATCCGCCAAGTCATATCCCGTAGTTGCAGGCGAAAAAGAAGAAGGCATCTCTGAAGTGTTCAATGGTTTGACTCGGAGATGATCAGAGAAATGCACGCGATCGAGTCCGTCTCAATCCACAATGGCACTAATCCTCGATCTATCTCTATCTCCATTCTAGTCTGAATCACCGTCAACTCTGTCAAAGTGTTCGTCGCACACGGGATCGGAGTCTTAAAAGCCACAAGTGCCGCACCAGCTGAGTCCCGAACAATGCCAGCTGCTCCTGCCGCTCCGGGATTCCCAAACGATGCACCATCCGTGTTAAGGTTGAACTTCCCTTGGCTTCTTACTTGGTGGCTCAGGAGCGAGATCTTCCGCCAGTTTGGATCTTTTTTCCCTTTTCTTACCAGCGGCCGCTTCTTTTTCTCACTCTTCTTCTCCTTCTCCTTCTCATTCTCTCCCTTCCTTCCACCCTTATTACTTCGGGCCTCCTTTTCCTTGCTGGTTTTCTTTTGCCGTTCCTCACCTTCATCAGCCAAGAGTTTAATAATTTCCTCCGGCTCAACTTCTGAAGCTTCATCGGAAACAGTTCTTTCTGAGTCTTGGCCACCAACCCCTCCTTCACAACTTTCATCTTCTTTTTCGGAGGCTGGACAGGATTACTTTCTTCTTCCTCTTCTTCGGCTTAAGGATTGGGTTGAATCTTTTGTCCTCCAGCCACTTCCTATCAACACAACATGTTGATGTGGCAGCATTGTAAGTTCAGGGGCTGGAGCGGGCATAAAATAGTAAGCAAATAGAAATATAAAGAAAACGATAAAATGAGTGGATAGTAGTTGTGAACGAACTGATGGCTGGCGAGCAATGGGTGCAGTGAGAGCGGCGATGAGCGGAGCGGTAATGACGGTTGGTGAGCGGTATATATATAGTCGAGACGGCTAGCAAGCAATGACTGATATTGATACTTAAAGGATGAACGGTGATATATGAACAGTAAGGATGTGAAAAGATGAAATGATTTATGCGTTACTTGAAGGCTAGAATTTCCTAGATGAAATGAGCGGATGGTGTGGGTGAACAACGGAACATATATATGTTACGAAATGGTGGAAGAAATGTAAGTGTACTTGTTCAGTTAAATCAGATTCTTGACTCGTTGATACTTGACCTTAAGGGATTTACAACAATATTTCAATGACACCCAGATCTAGAACATTATAAGCAAGAAAAGTTAGGGTCACTATACATTTCTAAGATCAAATAGGCGTACGCCAATGTCCAATTAATTATTCGGAAATCTGTCTCATTAGTGGTTTTATCATTTTGATACATTTTTTTAATCAAAAATTGAATTCAGGATAATAATTAAGCAGGTCGAAATAAGATACCTAGAATCTGTTAATGAATACGATGCGAAATTAAGTTTAGATAATCAATTTTTCTAAAGAAGTTTCACTTGTCAAGATTCACGATCTAAACAATCAAATATAAACATGGAATTGAATATGAAAATGTAGGTGAAGAACATCATGATATTTCATTTATCAGCTATTGAAAACAAGAAATCTACATTATGAAAGCAGTAAAATGAAAACGGTAACAAAGCTGTAAATCTATTTGTAAAAGCAACTAACTGGGCAGTAGGATAGAAGAGAATCTCCACTCCCCTGACCTCCACTGAGAACTCTCTTACAAAATTGGAACTCTCAAAAAGTGAACAGAGTAAAAGCAAAATGAACACGGGAATGTAGTAGTTTTTTATAAAAGAAATCTGATCCTATTTATAGGATTTTTGGATCTTCAGTTGAACGGTTATGGAGCAGCAGTTTGGAGTTGTTGAAATGTTGCAACCGCTGGGTAGTTAGGCACTTGGGCGGTTGGTTGGTTGGAACTACCCTAACTCCCAACTTACTCGCTTGGCTGGTCTGACATTGCTTGACATAAATCTTCCTCACTTGCCTGGCTTGGCTAGATTGGCTGGAGGGCATCGACACAACACAAGCTGTGCTATGGCTGGTATCTGAATGGTTTGACCATTGTGAGATCAACATTTAGATAAATTTTGGATAGCTTCAGGATCTCACTTGTTAGTTGTGGATGTCTGGCTGCTGGCTCGGGCACAAGCGGAAAAAAACATCACTTTCCGTCTTTCATACCTATGTCAATTTTTTAGCCAAGCGAAACAAATCAATAAAGTATGTCATAAATCAAATATTGTAATAGTTTTCACATAAAACTTCAACCAATAAACAATTTTATTAAGCGGTAAATATGATATTATTTGGAGTTTTCAGTTGAAAAATTTATATGTTAATTTATGACATCCGTGTAGTTCCAAACTCTTGAACCGTCTCTTGGCTTTGTATTGTAGTGTGGCGAAGAGCTCGGACAGACTTTACTAAATATCACTCGAGCATGGGAGCTTGCAGACGCATCAACTTCAGCAAACTTAATGAGCAAGCTCCCGGTTTTAGTGACCTCTCTTACCAGCAGCAATAAATCAGGCATGTATGCACTCAGATCGACGCTTTTATACCTTCCACAACAAGAATGTGTATCAGTCGTCGCTGATTTTGGTCTTATTGTTAGTTAGCACTCGGCAAGCGCTTGGTATCTGCTTCCAGGAGGTTCCAGTCAATGGGCCAATACGGTCAGGGTGAACTTCAACAGGTTCAAGTGTAGCTTATTGAATTCATCTTTTACGTACATACTACTGTTTTGATTCAGGTTTTTTTTTTGATCCTTTAGTTTCTGAATCCGAAAGCTTTTATGTGAAGCAAGCCATTGTCATTCTAGCTTAAAGATTGCTTTCTGAATTTACTCAAAAGCTTATTTGGCGACTTTATTTTTCCCTGTTTCATTGATTTCTAAACATTTTGTAAACCACCATGGGCTAATTTGCAGTTAATCTTCTTTCTCTGTTTATGTTCGTGCTTGTACTGCGTTTTCTGTGTTTCCTCAATCTTACAGTTGGATGGTTCCGAATCAGTATAGATTGCCATAGTGATGAATAAGGCTGGCAAGCTATTATCGACAAGTTCGGAAAGAGAGGTTCCTGTTGAAGATGCCAAACAGGAAAGTAGAGTTCTAAAGGTATGTCATTCATCAATATGTTTAGATATGATTTGGAGTTTATGAGAGTTCCGGGAATAGGAAATAAGTATATGATGTGATGTTTGTTATAGAAAATAGATTTACATGTGATATATTTTAGAGAAAGAAATTTTGATAAATAGTGCCTACACCCGAAATATAATTGAAAACATATGTACATAGAACCTAGAGTTTCCTGGTTGGATCATTACATGACAGCGCTCTCTCTATGTTACAATAGGTGTTGGATGTAATGTTTGTTATAGAAACTAGATTTCCGTGTGATATATTTTACAGAAAGAAGTTTTTGATGAAAAGTGTCAAAACAGATTTGAAAACATACGTAAATTGAATTTAGGATTTCCTAGTTGGATCATTACATGACGGCGCTGTCTCTATGTTACAATAGGCATTGGATGTGATGTTTGTTATAGAAGATAGATTTTCGTGTGAAATATTTTACAGAAAGAAGTTTTTGATGAAAAGTGTCGAAACAGATTTGAAAACATACGTAAATTGAATTTAGGATTTCCCTGTCGGATCATTACATGACGTCGCTGTCTCTATGTTACAATAGGCGTTGGATGTGATGTTTGTTATAGAAAATAGATTTCTGTGTGATATATTTTACAGAAAGAAGTTTTTGATGAAAAGTGTCGAAACAAAGTTGAAAACATATGTAAATCAAATTTATGATTCCTAGTTGGATCATTAGATGACGCTGTCTCTGTGTTACAATAGGCATTGGATGCGATGTTTGTTATAGAAAATAAGTTTCTATGTAATACATTTCAGAAAAAGAAAATCTGATGAATAATGCCGAAACGGAATTGAAAACACACGTAAATAGAACCTAGAATTTCCCCAGTCGGATCATTAGATGACGGCGCTGTCTCTACATTACAGTTTGGCGAGCTTCAGGTTGAATTGACTGCAAACAACGCGTTCATCGGCGCTGTAATAGGATTTATCTTCGGGTAACAACTCAACTCATCCAACTCTTGATTCTCAAACTATGATCAATCAATTAGTTTGACCCAAACTCCGGACCCCATGCAGGATTCTTTCCTGGCAAGTGAGTCGAGGCATCCAAAGCATACCGGAGAGCTCGTTGGAGTATGCAAACGACAATGCCCTGCTTATTGCCAAGGTGCGCAACATTTGTTCTTTTACCTCATCGATCAATAAGTTTGTCATAATCGGGACAATGCACGGTGCAGTCTCTGCGCGGGTTTCTGCTTGCGCTGTTCTACACATCGGCCGTGCTCTCGGGTTTTGCGAGCGTCGGGCTTGTCCTGCTTGGAGGGAAGTTAAAGTTTAAAAAAAAATAATGAGATGAACTTGTGGTTTCCATGGCTGGATCTAGTGTTTTATTTCTTCTTCACTCATGTAAGTTATCATGCTTTACTATATAACTTCATTATTTATGATAAAAACATATTGTTCATTCGAGAGTTTTTAAATGAAATGATTTTTTGTGGTGTAGTACAGATAAATGTGTCAAAAACATAAAATATACTATCTTCTTTCAACCACAAAGTATACAGTAGTTTATTTTTATATTGATATTTAAATATTAATTATTATATCAAAATATAGAGAAAATAAAAAAAATACATCTATTAGTCTCTTATAATACAAATATAATCATATTTTTGGAGTAAACTATACAAATATAAGAATATTTTTAATGTTAAATAAAATAGATTTGACATTGCTTGTAAATATCGAATCAAACTCTTGATTTTTATTTTTATACTTTTTCATCAGTCAAATTTACGCTAATTTTTCTTTTTAATATGTCCACTAAATTTATTTCATTATTAATTTTGACAAAGCAACAAATCAATATTTAACTTCTATCTTTCAATCTCAATTCTTATTTATAATAATTGTTATTATTTTTATTACTTTTTTTCTCAACATTTTTTTAATTTTAACTAAAATTTCAAATATACCTTCGACTATTTTTTTTTTAATTTTTATTATTTTTTTAATAAAATATTTATTTTTCTTAATCTCCGTGTCGGATACAAGTGTTCTAATTTTACTGGATGAAAGAAATATTATATTAAAAATTAATTTTACATTTAAAATATTATATTAATACATATTTATATCGCATCCTACAAATATTTAAATATTTTTTTTTGGGTATTGTAAATCCGAACCTCCAAACAACGCTATGATTGCCATGTCAATAAAACAAAAACAAAAGGCAAAGACCTCATCCAAATCCTAAAATATTTTGTTGTTGAATGGATAGAGATTCAAACTTTAAGTACCTTTTATACAAAAAGCTCTGTCACTATCAAGAATTTACAATTTCATCCACTTTCTGGGTTAGATGGCTATTAATACTTTATCACTAATTTTTGGCTTTTCTCTTCTTTTTTTTTTAAAAAAAATATTAATTATTTCTATTTTTTCTTATTTATTAAAATATAATGGGTAAATTTCAGTATTTGGGATTTTTTGTAAAAATATAATTTGAAAATACACTTGGATGTGTTTATTTAGTGATTTATTTTTTATTTGAATAGAAGTTTGAATATAAACCAAAATAATAATAATAATAATAATCAACTCCAAAGTAAACATACAATTGAATTTGAGTTAATATTTGAATGGAAAAGATGGGATAAGAAATAAATTTGAAATACATCAAATATATTTGAAGTGCAATTTTAATAACGAATTTTTCGTATGTATTGACACTTACACTAAACCCAAACTAAAGGGTTTGTTCGATTTTGTATGAAATAATTATTTGATATGATATCTTGTATAAAAAAATTATATACTTTTTAGAAATTCAAGATGTCATATAGTAAAAGAAATAGAACCTAAACATAGAGAAATACAACATGACGAAGGAGAAGGGGGTATTGTTTAGATGGGAAAACTAATATTTAATACTACCTTCCTCCACAAACTAATGTTCTATTTTTTTTATTTGGAACCTAAAAAAAATGATTGTCTATTTTCTATTTTTATACATAAAATTTACCTTTTTACCCTTACTTTATTTATCTTTTTATGTCTATACACAAAATAAAGATCTATGGGTAAACTGTTTTTTACTCCCGTAATTGGACCCCTTTATCATTTTAGTCCTGTAAGTGGAGCCTGTCGCAAATTAGTCCCATAAGTGAAAAAATTTCGCTGTTTTAATCCTCCGGCGCCGGAGACGCCGGCGTGGCTCGCCGGAGGTGACGTGTCCGCCAGGTCAGCGACACCTGGCGGACACATGGATTTATTTTATTTTTTTATAATTTTTATAATTTTTTTAATTGTACCAAATAAAAAAATAAAAAAATACAAATAAAATTTAAAATAAATTAAAAATAAGTTTTAAAAAAATTAAAAAAAAAATCCACGTGTCCGCCAGGTCAGCGACACCTGACGGACACGTCACCTCCGGCGAGCCACGCGGGCATCTTTGGCGCCGGAGAACTAAAATAGCAAAAAATTTTCACTTATGGGACTAGTTTGCGACATGCTCCACTTACGAGACTAAAATGATAAAGGTGTCCACTTACGGGACTAAAAAAAAAAATAGTTTACCCAAGAACTATTTTGTTAATTTACAACAAAAAAAACTAATTTCCTAAAAAAATTATGTAAATATCACTTAAAACATTAGAAAATGTACATAGGAAGTATAATATTTTGTATGAAAATATAATTAATTTTTTTTAATATAAAACATCACAGCAAGCTATAATGTAAATATAAAATACTAATAAAAATCAAACACATTGTACTGTTTTTCTTTTCACTATAGAAATGAGTATTTTAAAATTTTAAAATAAAAGAAAAAAATAGTTTAATTTTTAAATTTTTTAAAAAAGAAAAAGTATATTAGTCCTCCCTTCCAATATATATATATATATATATAGCATTTATTTTTTATTTAAAAATTAATCAAAATTTTAATTTTCGTTAAAAAGAACATTCAATATCTATTTTATATATTCAAATTTTTACAGTTACTAAAATATTTCAAATATATAATTAAATGCATATTTACTTTTTTATTATTATTATTATTATTATTATTATTATACAAAAATAAGGGATGTATTTGTTTAATATTTTAATTTGAGGTATAAGAAATTGTATTGATAATATAAAAAATAATATTTTATATTTATATTGATTTTTTTATAAGAGAATATAATACTTCTAAAATATATATATTTCTATTTTGAGACGTTCAATTACAAAGTAAATGTTTTATTAAATATCTCATTTTTTTCACAAATATCTTTACTTTACATCACATTATTACTTTTACACCAAAAAAATAAAGACAAAAATATCATTGCACTACTTTTAACTGCTCACTATAATTAAAATACTATTATTTTTTAAATACTATATAAAAAATAAATATTTACTTTCTATATGGACAAAGGGAGTACATATTATAACTTCATATTGAAAATTATACTCCCTCCGTCCCATAACAAAGTATCCATTTTTCTATTATAATATGTTTCATAACAAAGTATCTATTTCCTCTTTTAGTAATTGTACTATCTACTTAACATTACAAATACTCTTACAACTTAAAATATATTACACAAATGTCATTACTTTTATATCACACAGTACTAATAAGGTTATTTTAATTATTTCTACTTTATTTCTACTATATCCTAAAATTACGTGCAAAAAACAAATAAATACTTAGTTATGGAACTGAGGGAGTATCAGATAAAAAATTAGTTGGACAAACAAACCGAAATACAAACAAACACAATCGTGTATATATATATATATATATTAATGTTAATAATGCGTTGTTGAAAGCATCCACCAATTATTGTACAACAATTCAAAAGAAATATTAAAATATCATATTATTATTTACGACAAGTTGGTCACCTAAGTGAAGGGGAGATTTAATTTGTTTATTTACTATGGAATAGTCTTTTCCCATAATATAAATAATTTTTTTATATAATATTTTGAATAGAAAATATGTTCTAATATAATACTTTAAATAAAAAGAATAAATTTTTTACGAACATAAGTAGGGCATGAATGATCCGATGATTATTAATTTTTTTTTATTGAATATGTTACAAATAAATTTATGATTGATCAATAAAATACTATTTCTACAGCCAAAAGAATAAAAAATAAGTAATTCACATTAGTGATGTGCTTTTTTTATGTTAAGATATGAAAAATCGTATTATTAATATAAAAAATAATATTATATATTTAATTTTCTATTTTTTTAAGTAAATATAATATTCCTTCCGACCATTTTGAAAGGTAACATTTACTTTTTGATACCGAGTTTAAAAAATAATACTAGTAGTTTAATTGTAGTAAGTAGTTAAAATTAATGTAAAAATAATTTTTTTTTTACTTTTTTTTTGTAAAAATAATTATGTGACAGTAAATATGAATATTTATAAAATAAAGTGGGATTCATACTTACTAAAAATGATTAATGATTACTTTATAATTTAACAACTCACAATAAAAATATGTATAATTTGTGGGTGAAGAGAAAAGTACTACTTCCTCCGTCCCATTTTTTATTTTCGTCCGTCCAAAAATAAAGTTACAATTTTCTAATTTAGTAATTGTACTACCTACCTAACATAATAAATACCCTTTCAACTTACATTATATTACACAAATATCGTTACTTTTATATTACACCGTACTAATAGGGATATTTTTGTCTTTTTTACTACAATCCAATATAATATTAATATTAAAAAATTTACGTACAAAAAGAAAATTTCACCCTTCCAATGGGACGGGGGAAGTATATATTATATAAATATGTATATTGTATTTTTTTAGTAATAATCATCGAAATTGTACCCTAAACAGGTTGAATGCTGTGTATATATATATATATATATTGTTATTTTGTCATTCAATATCTTGATCTTCTTTAGAAATATCAAAACTAGTAACAATTTCATTTTGAAAAATATATTAAAACATTAAAAAAAAAAAAAAGAAAGAGTAAGTTATATAAAGACGATGTTTGATTATTAGCTCTGTTCTTCCATCACTATTTTTCAATTGCGATTTCAAAAAATAATAATAATAAACACAATATTTTATAGAAAAGTCAAAATACTCATTATAAAAAAATAAAAAAAAAGTAAAATATTCAATCTAAAATAATACTATATTTTATATTTTTGACATAATTTTTCATATCACACACCAAAATTTATTTTTTTAAGAAAAAAAAAACACTATGTGAATGAGATATTGTTTGGATAATGTTTTAGTTATTATTTGAGATGGTGAAATTGCAACCATATATATGTATATAAATATATAAATTGCATCTCATGCACTCCAAGAAATCAATTATTGTTTAATTATATGTAGGCCCTTTAATCACTATGCATAATAATTTTAACTAATTAATTAATTAATTTTTTAGCCTATTCGACTATC